TTTTCTGGAATTTGAGAATTTGAGATGTTTGGTACATAATAAACTGAAATCTCATAAACTCTGGTGTTTCTTCATTGGCCATGTGCAGAAGCCAAATTCTATTGTTTTCAGGTTGTTCACGCAATTATTCTCAGTTTCGTCACAAAATGCTCACAATACCATCACCTCTTTCAATTTGCCTCGGATCCCTTCTTGTCTTGCCCCCCCCCCCCTGTAATTCGTCATTTTTCTTTGTTATGACGCTTCTCTAGTTTCTTTTCTCTATAAATATAATATTTTTTCCTAGTTCATTTTTTTGATTCAATATTATTAAGGTTTTATAGTTTTTTTCTATATAAAGGTTGTAATAGCCTTTTAACAAGGAAAGATGCGGATGAATAAAATTAATTATTTTAAGAATTTTTTTATGGTGTTTTTGGTTGAGGATTTTGATTTGTAACAAATTTTTTTATCCCTTGCTCTTGATTGCATCGAACTTAGGGTTGGTAATTTGTTTATATTTACTTTTTATATACTAATCATGTATGCTAATTATGGTTTTAGATTCTTATTTTTGATATTAGGTTAGTAATTGGTTTTATAAAAAAGATTTTGATTTTAATGTTTTCAAGAAATTAAAAATAAGAGTACCAAAATTGAAAAAAAATAAATAGCATGCCTTTTATTTTAAAAAATAGTGGTGTCCACTTTTTTTTTCTTTGGTTATTAATTTTTTTATTTTTAATTTGATCGTTTAATGATATATTTATTGGAGTTTAAGGTTGGTGATTTGTTTCAATATATTTTTCATGTATATATGTCGATCTTTAAAACAAAATTTTAGTTATGGAGTTGGTATTTAATTTCATAAAAAAATTTGATTTTATTATTCAAAGAAGATTAAAAATAAGTGGACTAAAATTGATCCAGAGAAGAATTTAGGAGGTTTTTTTAAACACACAAAGGCATGTAAGCGCGTGCATGCCAATGCCTCAGAATTATGCCAAATTTCCTCCGTGGTCTCTTTAGTCGGGATATAAAATGACTTAGTCTCAAAATTTATTTCACTTGTATTTTTATTCATGAGTTTGAGAGAGAGAAATAGCCATCTAATTACAAAAAAGAAAAAAAGATAAGGTTGGTGGATTGCTTGACTTGATATTAAAGAGTCATGAGAAAAGTTTTATATTTTAGTTAAAAAAGCAAATTAATCCTAGTGATTTTTTTTTGCTGAGTTTGATTTTTTATTTTTGATTAATTAAATGTTAATCTAAGATCATAAATAAGTTTATTAAGAATCCTCTAGTGTTTTTGGTTGAAAAATAGGTGAAAATGAAATGAGAATGGATTTTTTTAGGCTAAAAGATGACAACTTAATTTTCAACTACCAGCATCGTATGCAATGCATTACTTATTATAACAAACAATATATAGCTTGTCACAACAAATAACATATCATTTATTATAATTATTTTTTAAAATAAGAAGGGGTAACAACAATTAGTTTGCCATTTATAAAAAGAAAAAAAATAAAAAAACCTCAAACACTCGTGTTTTGACTTTTTTTATAAAAGTCCAAACACTTTAGGCTACCCAATTCCTACTTATATTTTTTTTATCTTAGAATTTTGTTGTTGTTTTTTTCTAATTTTAACCTTTAAGATTGATTTTTTTTATCAATTATATTCTTCACCATTTGATTTATTTTGAATTGAATTTCATAATTTATGTTATTTATTTTTTTATAGGTTTATTGATGTCTCAAATAAAATTCCAATGGTTAATGCTTAATTTTACATATGTTAATTTTTTTGTTGTTGTATGACTAAATAAAAAAATATTTTTTTAAAAAATATTGTTATTAAAATAAGTGAAAAATAAAAAAATATTTTTTTAAAAATATTGTTATTAAAATAAGTGGAGTTTATGACCCAGATCATGAGTTTGATAGATAAATTTAAATTAATTGAGAATTAAGTTTCATAATATATATTGTTTTTGTTGATTTATCATGATTTCAAAACGAAAGTTTGATATTAGGCAAATACAAGATTTTGCAATTGCTCTTTTTAATTATTAGATAATTAAATATTTTTTTTTAAAAAAATTATTAAACTCAATGGAGTTCGTAACCTAGATCACTTCTTTAGCTAGTTAGTATGGGTTGATTAAAAATTAAATTTTATATTCTATTTCAATTTGTTTTTATAAAGATATTATAGTTTCATACAAACATCTCAATATTGAGGCAGTGACAGATTTTGCGAATAATTATTTTTGTTAGTATATAACTAAATATATTTTTAAAAAATTATTAAATTTAGTAAAGTTCATAAATCATGTTGTAGGTTTGGCTGGTCAAACCACAAAACCTGAATTCAATATATCAATATATTTATTTGTAAAAATCAAACCACATTTTAAAAATCATTTTAGGTTTTTTTGGAGTCACCAACCAAGTTAACCAAATTATGTCAAAAAAACTTCAAAACAGTTTGATGTTAAAATTAAGCCAGGCAAAAATTAAGGTTAAAAATTTTTAAAGTTGATTCGTTGGGCAGAGTTTAATGAGAGTTTCTTATAACTTGAAGATTTCTTTTTATGTTTAAAAATATTTTAATCCACCTGACATAGCATATTGTATTTATCTAACATACTTAGATAACATGGGGATTTTTTTTATTATTATAATTTTTTAGAAATGAAACTTGATTTAGAGATAACGATAATGATTTTTGTTGTTGCTGGAAATGTGCAGGCAATAACTGAAATGTTCGTGAGAATTTTAGCATGGCCCTGCGAAGCGCATGGCACATCCAGTGAATATGCTAAAAGCTCTAGTTCTTAGAAAATCTTTTTTAATTTAACAAGGCAACATGCCTTCAGCAATTATGTCAACTAGTCATTTAATTAATTGATATCATAGATTGCTACTCGATTATAAATTTAGGCATGCAATTTTGATGGTGATTAACGATTGCTTAAAACTTGGCCTGGTTTTGAAGATTTGTTTTAATTTAATTTGGGATTTTATTAAGAAAGCTATGAAGATTGCCTGTACATTGACTGGGCGCAATTTTGTTCATTAAAAATTCGAGATCAGAAAGATTTTCTGAATCTGAAGAAATCAATGGCTAACCAACCACGTTATAAATCTGGCCATGTGTATAAACACACGATAAATGAATCAGAAAGTCTCAAAACAGAGTAGCAAGCAAAGAGGAAAATCTCTGCTTAGACGACATAAAGAAACAAGAATCTTTACCACAGCAGAAATATTTATCTGTTTAGGTCCTTCAATTCCCTGTTTGACCTCTAGACAAAATATTTGCTCTACAATTCTTGGTCCTGTCGGTATAGACACACACACACATTCTTAGCTCTGTCTCTCTCAGTTTTCAGAATAAGACAAAGTTAGGTCTTGATGGAGTCCCCGCCGTGTAAAGCAATCTTTCTAGTGGCAACAACATTGCTGGTCCTTTTGCAGATTCCGTTTATCAGTGAGCTTCATCTTTCTTGTTTTCTTTTTATTTGTTCTTCAATAGCATGCATGTGTAAGACTCGAGCCCCGAGTCCTCCTTCATTTTCATGTTCTGAAAGACTGAGGACACGCATTTCTTAGCAAATGAGACTAGACTAGACCCAGAACCATGTCCCATGGAAGAGGTGGCCCAGAAATTTAGAAATAGGACCGGAAAAAACATGCTTCTTTTCCTCTCTCATGTATACACCAAGAACAACTTGAGTAAAACTATCATTCTTAAGCCCTGTTCAGTCCCACGAACTAAAGACTGCCTAAAGGTTTCATCTTAGGCATTCCTCTATATTTGAGCCATAGAATTAAAATGCTAATTTTTAATGATCATTGCAGGTGCAATTGGTATTAATTATGGACTGAATGGAGACAATCTTCCAGCCCCACCAGCAGTTGTAGACCTTTATGACCGATGCCACATTCCATCTGTTCGGCTCTTCGAACCAAGACCAGAGGTGCTTCAAGCATTGAGAGGGAAGCCCTTACAAGTTATTCTGGGTACAAGAAACGAGGACATACAAAGCCTTGCAACAACCCTTGATGCAGCTAATTCATGGGTCGCCGCTAATATTGTCCCCTACAGATCTGATGTTAACTTTACTTACATTACAGTAGGCAACGAGGCGATTCCAGGGGCTATGTCACAATATATCGCACAAGCCATTGCCAACATGTATACCGCACTTGCCGATGCAGCCATTACTTATATTAAAGTGTCGACTGTTGTTCCGGGAAGTTCACTTTCAATCTCTTACCCTCCATCAGCTGGTGCTTTCACTAATGAAGCAGCTGCTGCTATAAGTCGCATTGCACCTATTTTGTTGAATCACGGAGCATCCCTCATGCTCAACGTGTACCCTTATTTTGCCTATGCCTCGGACACAAATAGTATGTCATTGGACCATGCCTTACTTACGCCGGGGGCTCCGCTAGTCGGCGATCAAAACCTCGTGTATGACAATATCTTTGATGCCATGGTTGATGCATTTTATGCAGCTTTGGAGAAGATTAGCGAGCCTGGTCTTACGGTTGTTATATCTGAGAGTGGCTGGCCTACTGCTGGGAATGAACCTATCACAAGTCCAGAAAATGCACGTACATATAACAGAAACTTATTGAATCATGTACAGGAAGGAAGAGGCACTCCACGGCGGCCAGGCCAACCTCTTGATGTCTACTTTTTTGCAATGTTCAATGAGGATCTGAAGCAGGCTGGGATTGAGCAGCATTGGGGTTTCTTCTATCCAAATATGCAGCCTGTTTATCCATTTTGGCAATGCTCGTGAACGAAACCATCGCATAAGCTATAGTACTATTACGCTCTCGATTTATTTTTATCTTCAAAATATCTTTCATGATTAATTATGTACCATGGAAAGTTTTTTTCCGTCAGCCAATAAGGATTAAAAAAGTATAATATTTTTAGATGTTTGGAAGTGTGGTTATAATTATTTTTTAAAGTAGAAATATATACAATAATATATTTTTTTATTTTTAAAAAATTATTTTTGTATTAGCACATCAAAACGATTTAAAAATATCAAAAATATTAATTTAAAGTAAAAAAATAAAAAAATAATAAATTTTTTAAAAACATTTTTAATTAGATAAGTCATTTTTCTAGTATTTGAATTTTTAGCAATCTTGGTATAAAATAGAGACAATTATCAGTAATATATTAAAAAAATATTTTTAATATTAGTATATTAAAATAATTTAAAAATATAAAAAAATCTAATTTGAAAAGTAAAGAAAAAAAATGAGAAACCTTTTTTTTTCCTTCTGTTTTTAATAGAACTCAACATGTGATTGTTTTTTTACTGTACATTTTAAAACAATTTAAAAAAAACCATGTTGTTAAACTTTATAAATTTCATAAATATATTTGCGGGTTTGACGACTTAAATCGGTTCACGAATTTGAATGATTTAACTTTTTTAATTAATATTTTCTTTTTATTTCATCTTTTAATATAAACTTAATTGATATTGAGTTACAGAATTTGTTTCATTTTGCTTTTTATGATGCTATCATGAATTATAAAAAAGTCTTGTTATTATATTTGTTTGATTTTGCAATCATATATTTTTGTTGTTATATAATTATATAAAAAATATTTTTATGAAAAAAGTAATTATTATTAAATTTCATAATCCGATTCTTGGGTTTGACATGTTGATCTAGGTTACTTAATTCACAGAATTGACAGATTTATCCATCAAACTTGATGTGTTTTTTTTTTTTTGTCTTTTAGTTGACAGATTTATCCATCAAACTTGATGTGCTTTTTTTTTTTGTCTTTTAGTTTTTTTTAATTAATTATTTTTTTAATTTCATCATTTAATATTGAATTGGTTGATAAATAGATTTCATGACTTATTTTTATCTACTTTCTTTAAGGTTATTATGGTCTCAAACAAATATCTATTTTAGGATTGATGCTAAATATTACAATCATTTATTTTTTATCATAAAATTAAATAAAAATATATTTTTTAAAAAATATAGCTATTAAATTGTCAAAGTCCATGACCCTATTCATGAGGTCACGAGATTTATCCAATATGTTATTATTTCATTATTTTTTTTAAAAATATCATTTTAAAGTTTTTTTAAAAACTAAACCATATTTTTATTAGTTAATTTGAGTTGTTTTTAACTTATAAAATTAATTAATTTTTATTACATCAACTCTAATATAATTTAATTAAAAATCTAAATTAAGCAACGATCCAGATTAAAAGGCTGGAAGATTTTAAAATGAACTTGGTTCAACTCCTGGTGGATCTTGGGCCAACATATTTTTAAAGACAAATTGATAGTTGATCTTCTCAATCTTAATAAAAAGTATAAGATATATGCATATATAAATATTCAAAAAGTGAAGGTTACAAGAATCATGCCTTTTACAATTCTATCTTGACCCAAAAAAAGATCAACTATAAAAATCCTATACCAAACTAATAAAAACTAGGGATTAAAATAAAAACATACCTTTTACAATTTTAATTTAATTGCAAGGCATAATAATAAAATGGAATCGAGAATGGAAAGAACATTTTAGAATATTTAAAAACATAGTGCAAACCTCATTTTTAAAAAAATTAATTTTTTTTATATATTTTAAATTGTTTTAATATATTAATTTTAAAAATAATTTTTTAAAATAAAAAATATTATTTTAATATATTTTTATATAAAAATATTTTTAAAAACAACACAACAATACCTCGACATGAGTTCAAACAATACCTCGACATGAGTTCAAAAAGAGAGGGTGCCCGCACAATTACCCGGTTGATTTTTTATTTTATTTTTTGTGTGCACAAAAGTCTAAAAACAAAAGAACAACACGCTTCGGATGGAAATTAAAATCCATACTAATTTTCTTCTTATTCATGTGCAATTTGTGCTTAAAATATTGACATGAATTGCTCAAAATGAGATGAGAACACAAAAAATACTTGTAATAACTAAACTGAAAATGATGCCTTCAGATTTTCTCTCTTTCCGTAAAATTGGCAAAAACACCATAAGCTTTCTTTGTAGAATCAAACCCTTTAGCGAAGAAAAGTGAAAAAGACGAAATAACCCCAAACGATGTATCGATTTCTCCCCAACAAAACAGCCTCTAACCTACCCTTCTCCCAAATCAACCAACCTTAACATCTTGAAAATTACCCTATACTGGGAAGGCAGGATTGGGGCATCTGTAACTTAGTGCACTATTTGCAAAGTGCAGAGTTCCAACCAAAAATTCACCCCCTTCTTCCATTCGCAGCCTACTAGCCTTCTTAAAAAAAGATTAAAAAAAAAGAAGAAGAAAGAAACTAGCAACCTGTCATCAAAAATCGGAATCTCTTGGGTCTACTATTTCAGAGATCAGCATTAAGCATCTGATCCAGAGTCAGCTGAGCTGGATGCAAAGGAAGCTCCACCCAAAGTCGCAGCATGACATTCATTCAGCTTTTGCAGCATACCTCGACACACTTTCAGGGACGGCTTCTTTGTAATATACTGCAAAGTGAAATAATGAAAATCAATACAACGGCATTTACATATTTGTAACAAGAGACTTCTAAATACAAGGATTTTGACCAGGATAATTCAAAAATTGCAAGATTACTGTTCCAACATTCAGATGGAGAATCACATGGCAATAACCTTGTTGCATGAAAAATTGGGGCGACAGCTTGAAGCAGTTGCAACCAAAGTTTCACAATTTTTTGCCCAAAAAAGTAAAAGTGCAAAAGAACGAACAATCCACATAAAAAGATCAAACGGACATTTTTAAACTTCATAGAACCCAAGTAAAATGGGCCACACCTCGATAGCATGACTTCTCAATGAATAAACAAGAAAAGAGCTAATGGTATTTACCTCCTGCAAGAAGGCATTAATCTCTTCCTCTGTGAGTCCTTCCTCCTCCCCTGAATTTTCCTCCCACCCTAGAGAACGAAGGAAAGAAACCTCTTCCTCGGAAAATCTTTGAACCTCTTCTAAGGTCCCACCATTGCTAGTCAGTTCAGCACCATTCTGAACAGGTTGAGAACTTGCAGGAGCACTCACAACTTCCTTAATTACTTCACAAGATTTCTCACTGGTCGGAGACAAAACAACAGATGCTGAATCTGCAACTGAAGAAGTGTTCATAGCAGTTTTCTTCTTCAGGTCATTAAAGAAATTATTCCTGCTCTGGGTTCTCTTTTCCCCACCAAATCCTGAATTTAAATTCAAGCTAGTCGGCTTGCGCTCCACTGAAGAAAGCTTTGGGTTGTTTGGACTCCTCAGAGGCGGAGATGGAACTGAAGGAGCAGCAAGTTGACTATTTGCAGTTCTGCTGGAAGTATTTGGACTCGCAGCATCCTTTGGAGAAGGAGAGACACCATTTTCCCATACCGGTTTGAGAACAAATAGCTTCCCTGATGTCTTTGTTGCATCAGATTTGACATGTACCCCGACAGAAGATTGATTAGCAGGGTGCAATGAAGACTGCTGTTGTGAGCTCTTAGCAGCCATATTCATCTCGCCAGGTCTGATTCCTGTTTTAGGCTTTGATTTATCAGATGAACTGAGAACCTGAAAAAAAGAAAATTAGCCAGTGGTTACACAATTTTTTTGGTTTAAAAAAGTAAGGAAGAAGAATCGAGGGCTGCAGTCATCACAAGTATCAAAAAATCAGTGTGTGCATGTGTCCTAAATTATTGACATCCGGGACAGCTAGCTAACTCCATGCAAATTCATTCATTGACATTCTGGACATAGTAAGAGATAACTCAGTCACAACCTGAATCACAAAAGTCAAACACAAAGCACATAAGGAACCTGTAGCATTCGGGAGTCGGAATAACCAAACAAGAGCAAGAGGCTAGCTGTAGTAAACAAGAAACTATTGTCTCTAGATAATGGTTCAACACTGACAAAATGTTCACACTTTCACAAGATCTGTTTGTGAATAAAAACTTCTGTTATCCTCAAAACATCATCTGCAGTCCATGTATCAATATATAAACCCATTCTGATATTTGAAAATTAAAATAACCTAAGAATCAATGCAGAAAGGCAACAGAATTGAAGGTTTGCAAAAGACACGAAAGTGAGAATGTGCTTCAAGCTTTACCAGTCAAAAACACATACAAAAGGAAAAAAGTTGAATTAGAAAAGAAGGAACTGATCAAGGTTTCCTATCCAATGCTTGATCCTTTACTTCTATCAGTATATTAATGGGTCTTGAAAAAAAAAAAAAAAACACCTTCAACAATGTAGATCAAGACAAGCTAACCATAAGAAATGCAAGCTAATGAAACTTTTCCAAGTTGTTTTTCACCTTATCGATTAAAATACAAAATCAGATGTGCACTAGAAGGAAGATTTCCACAATAATCTAAGCAAATCATACCACCCACGTAACTGAGAGACAAAGATGCTCTAGAGGCCCAAACTTTCAACATTCTCCACTACAAAAGAAAAACATAATTCGAAATTCCCCATGACAGTATGATCATAAAACAGAAAAAACAAGTATTCAGATCTATAACAGAACATCAAGCTAGCAAACTTCATGTACTCATAAAATCCTGCAGGAACTTTGAACATGATGTATGTGGTGCAGAACGGAGTGTGCATGCATGCTCGCATGCATGCACGCATTGCCTGTATAGATGAGATAGATTATCAATGAAGAAGAGAGCAACACAAAATAGTCTCAGAATCAAAAGGATAATCTGGTAACCAATGTCACATTCCATTAAGAATATTACCACCATTCCCTAATCAGAATCAGGAAATGTAGCAATAAGTCAACTAATCCAACTAATATGCTGTCAAAAGTAATAGTATTAGTGAGATTGATCAAAAGTAGGTTCATAAGCAGGTAAAATTTTCAAATTAATTACAGAGGAAAATTGGACAATATTCCTAGGAAAAGGACAAACATCCAAAGCTCCAGATGAAGAATGAAGCCTTTATTATTCAAATGCTGATCAGCTTCTATTATTCCAATGCTGATCCGCTTCTATTATTCAATGCTGATCAGCTTCTATTATTCAATGCTGATCAGCTTGCAACATACAAGATGTTAGCAAAAGGATACATCAGCAGATAACAGGTAAAGCACAAGGTTTGATGATTTATAAGTCGCCAGCACATTAAAACTACTGAATGGTACAGCTATAAAACAAGCTCTCATAAATTCAGATGTGGTTCTCTTACCAAATTCTTAGGCATAGAAGGAGTCACAGGTATTAACTGCCTTGATTGCTTAATAGCCAATTCCTCAAGCCTTTGTGTCTGGACAGACAACTGCAAGATTGAAATAAATACCTCATTAGACAAACTATGGTCTATAGCTATGAGTGATATAATAGAAGGCAGGGCATAGGAACCTTGCTCAATTACCTGCGGAGCAGTGCGAGTTCTTAATGGAGCTTGAGTCAATGCTTCAGCCATATTGAGACCAGCCATTCCACTTGAAGTTCCAGATGAAGAAGCAGCAACAGTCTGTGCAGTAGATGAAGAACTCGTACTGCTGTTTCCAATAATAGTGGGCACCTCTGCCAGAGCTGACGTCCATCCCTCTCCACCAATCAAAGCAGAACTACCAACAGGCAAGTTCTGTATGCTTGAGCTTAAACCAGGAGACGAAACTCTTGCTATATCAGGCACTCCTTCCCTATCCTCATTTCCAAGTGAGGGAAAATCCTTTTCAAATACTGCCTTCTGACTGCTACTACCAAAACTACCCCCAGAAACCAAACCATTGACATTTGCATGATTGCTGCTACTCCCATTTTTTAATTCCGATGCAGCTCTGCGCAGCATCACCTCACTGTGTTTCCTTGATACCATTGAATGGGAATGGCGCAAGGTGTCCTTCTCAATCCTATTGGTTAATATGCCTCCCAAGGGATCAGATGAGTCTCTGTCCCAATGGTCTCCAAAACTTGATCTCTCTTTGTCCCTTTCTCGATCTTTATCTCGGTGACTTCTACTAAAACTACTGTAAGGATGCTTTGCAGACCCATTGATAGAACTTCTCCGTGAATTAGATGAAGATTGCCGATCCAGAAAAGCAGAGCGAGGGGAATCAAAATCATTTATGCTCTTAGAACTCCTATTTCTGGTGTGATTTCCCAATGAAGAGACATCTGTCCAACAAGTTAACCAATCAACACCCATAACCAAATCTAACAATTAACGCAAGCCACTTAACATGACCAAACACAAAAAGAACAGAAACAATACCACATGCAATCTATAAAAACACAATTTAAAAACTTGGAAAATAGAAAAGTACCTGAGTGGGAAGAAGATGATGCGAAGTGGTGGGCTGAACTGCCAGCCCCGGAAACACTGCCTGGACTTCTCAACCATTCTGGTACTAATGAGGGCTCACTTCTTTCCATAAGTACGAGCACTTAACATCATCAGATCCAACAAGAAAAAAAAGAAAACACTTCTCAATCTTCTTCAACCCCTCCTAAGAGAGCTATTATCCTATACAAAACCACTATACCGTGTAGCTCCTAACCATACTTTTCTCTCCAAAAATAAACACCATTCTTCCAATGATTAAACAATCACCAACTAATCAACTCTCGAATTATCTATCCTGTACATCTTTTCCACCACATATTAATCAAAAGCAAAAAGATTTTGAAATGACACCAAGCTTTCCCTCTCTTTTCTACACTTCCATCTTCTATTAAAAGATGGATTTGCAGATAAATATCACCACAAACTCAACAGGCCCTCATCTTTAACAAGAATCCCAATTGAACAAAACGTCCAAGGCAACATCCAAAGCAAATCCACAATTCTAAACCAAGAGTTCACTCCCATGAACCAGTTGAAATTCAATGACAACCCCAGGAAAAAAAAGAAGGCAGAAAAAAATTGAAAACCCTAGTTCATACACTTGTGTATCTCTAATAGCGTAACTGCAATGCCCTAGGGTTTGTTACATGAACAAATTGAACAAGAATTATAGAGAGCGAAATAAACACACAAGGTCAGAGAGATGATAGAGAGAAGAACTAACCCTAGCAAAAGGAAAGGCTATATCTCTACAGCCTAAAACGTAACCGTTTCAGTAACCGCTCCGCGAAAATTAAATTGTGTTTATCTTGTATTTTTAATATTCTCTCCCAGAAATCTTTTTAAAAAAGAGAGAGTTTCAGTGCTATAGATAGAAATAACAGAGACAGAAGGCAATTCTTGTTATTGAAGAGAAGGAGATTTCAGTGTTAATGCGAGAGAGATGGTGAGTTTCTTCTATTTCTGTTGTTGCTGAGAGAGGAAATTAGGGTTTTGTTTGGAGGAGGGGGAATGGAGAGAGGCGTGATTTCTGTTAGTTTTGGATACTGAGAATGAAACGTATGAAGAACAGCTTCTTCTCTCCTTTCTTCTTTCTAAAATATTTTTACTATTGTTATTATTATTTCAATTAATAAAATAAAAAATATCAAATAATTTTAATTTTAATTTATTTTTTAATGGGCCTAGTCCGAATATCACTATGTGGGTTAGATTTACTTGAACTTTCAGGGACTGGACCAATGTATGTCTCTATTCCGATCTGTTGTTATTCGTGGAGATTTATCTTGATTTTTTTATTAGAAAAAATTCTTAATTTCTTCTCTGGGCAGAATAAATTGTTATTTCATTTATTATAATATAACTCTTATCTACACAAAAATAAATAAACTCCAATTACAATAATTTAGGCAGTCTTGATAACTAAAATCTTGACTTTCATGGTGTTAGGATTAAAATCCTGTTTATAAATGCGGTTATTGTTATTTTTAAAGATGTTTTTTATTAAAAATATATAAATATTTATTTTTAATATTAATATATTAAAATAATATAAAATCAAAAAAAATATATTAATTTAAAATTTAAAATATTATATTTTTTAAAAAAATATTTTTGATACAAAATATTAAATTTTTTAAAAAATATTTTTGATATATAAAAATAAACAAGTATAATAAATGTTTGGCTAAAATATAAATAATTGGATTAATTAAAATTGTGAGTAAACTTCACGTGTCATGCTATGTTTGTGTGATTTTGTTTTGCGGTGTTAAATTGGAAGATCATACATCGACTACTTTTCTGAGGATAATAATGCTTAGTGACTAAAAAGTATTATCTGTTAATGATTTAATATAATGCTTAGTGACTAAAAAGTATTATCTGATCATTGCATGTTTATGATTTAATGTTTTTGATTGGCAGAATAGAATTTATCTACAGATGATCCAAGAGGGCGTCAGTCAAATAAAAGTTAAAATTACAGTGATGTTTATTATTATTTATTTATTACTTTTGTTATAAAAAAAACCCTGAAAAATCTCAACGTGCATGTAATTCTAACCCTGTAGTCGTTGAGTGGACGAGTGGTTTACAAAAGGTGTTTCATGGATGCATACCTCTTTTTTTATGCCAGTTCCTTGAGGACGTGGCTGAATAGACACCTCTAAGGAACCCTGTCAAACTTGAAAGGGAATGGAGAGGAGATGTGAGAGAGGGGATCAATGATTTTCGCTTCCTTTAGTTGGACTGGATGCAAAAAACAGATGGTTAGGAGTAGCAAACAACCTTGGTCAGTGGAGTTTTTTTTTTTTTGGCTTAGGTTTTGATTGTAGATTTTGGTTTAGTGGCTACCATTCTTGACTGCACTTTCTTTGTCTGATATCAGGTTTGGTGTTGATTGGAGAGAAAAAAAGCGTGTTACCCTTGTCAAAGATCTTTTCCCCTGTAAGAGATCAAGACAAGCATGACTAAGGTATAAATTAACTTTTTATTCTTATCTTTTTTTTAGTTTGGTTTGGTTTGGTTTTTATGCCTATTTGTAATCATACTCAATCCCATGCCCTTTTTCCTTCTCATTCTCATATTGTTTTTCCCTTTTAGGGCTTCAAAAGGCTAGAAGTCTCCGCCATTACCATGAGAACCAATGTAACCCCAAAATATCTCCAACCTTATTTAAAATGGTGGACACTTGATTGATTTGATTGGTCTCATTTGATTTTGGGTTTTTTTTATTTTTCAATGGAAAGAGAAGACCAATGTAACCCCAAAATATCTCCAACCTCATTTAAAATGGTGTACACTTGATTGATTTGATTGGTCTTATTTGATTTTGGGTTTTTTTATTTTTCAATGGAAAGAGAACTGTATGGGGAGATTAAAGGGAGCGTAGAAAGATATGGCAGATGTTTAAGCACACTGTCGATCGTGGTCTTATTTTTTTAGCCTGTTTTAAATCAAACGGTGGATTATATAGTTTTCTCTCATGTTTTGATTAATCAAATAGTGGGTTTTATCTAGGCATTTGCAATCTAAATCTGATTTATAATATGTTCTACCTTTTCCTTTGATCCGTGAGAGAATACCTTCAGTTATTGTAGAAGCATTTGTGAATGGGCACCTTGCAGCAGGTGTAACAACTTCTGTAAATGGGCACTTTGGATTAGTTGATTATGCTGTTTTTTAACGAAGCTTGATATTGAGAGGGGTTTTTGGGATAAACATGGCATACTGTTATCTCAAGAATCAAGAACTTTTGTAAATCTTGGTGTTGTGCTTAATATTTCCATGACTGGTCATGAATCTGATAAGGTTTCTTTTAATTTCTTTATTCGGAGTGGAAAATATATGAAGTGCTTGCTTCTCGTGAGTTAGAGAAATGGGCGGAGAGGGTGCAGTCACTTGTGGAAAGGCTTTTTTTTATTTCTTAGATATATATTTTTTCTTACTGTCTTGTGTTGGTTTTAAATAATCTCTCTTCTATACTTTTGCTTTCTTTTTTCCCTTTGTCATGCATGTTTCTTTTCAGTTGCTTGGGAGGGGGTTGTGATTTGGTTTATTTTTTTTTAAGAAGGTCTTTTTCCTTCATTGATTGAAGGCTTTGTTACCGTGTTTTTGAGTTCTGGTCGTGATTAAAGTATAATTAGAAAATTCCTTTTTATCACTTTTTTATGGATTTTTTCCTATTTAAAATCTATCATCTTAACTAATTGGTTCATGGGCTTAGAAAGGGGTGGGTAGAAGTTGGCTTGATTTTGGGTTTTGGGATTCTATTTTTTGGCAAAGCCTTTATTATTTTTTTACCTGATGTGCTTATCTCAGGAGAAAAAAATAGGTTAGAGGTTGAGTTTTAACGGGATTAGTTCTAGCTTTGGCTAGTTGTCTTTTTTTTTGTATACATGTTTTGTTTGCGAGAAAAAACTATGGCTCTTTTGTAGGAGTCTATATCCTTTATTGATCGAGGGTTTTGTAAGAGATATCCTTTGATTATGTTTCTTTTTTTTTCTTTTATTGGTTAGAGTCTATTATCTTAATTGGTTGGCTCATGAAACTAGGAAGGGATGGATAGAGGTTAACTTGGGTTGGGATTTTAGGATTACATTTATGGGTTAGGTAGCCTTTATCAGTTGTTGTTTGATATGCATATCTCATAAAAAAAAGTTATAGTTTGGATCTTCGCAAAGAGGCTTCCAGCCTAGGAAGGCTATCTCCATTCCACGTATGTGTGTTGTTTAAGTTAAAAAAATATATATTTCATTATCCTCCCACCAGCTGCGACATAGTTAGGGTAAGAGTTGATGAATATAAAATCTGAATTCTCTGTGGATGATGAAGTTTTTATAGGATCTCATGGCATTTTGATCGATGAGTTAGATTACTAATATATTGTTGTCTATATTGATTTTTTTAGGCTTGAACGTGCACTGTAGTTTTGGCTTTTTTAATTTAAAAGGCCTGTTTGCGGTGATTTACTGTTCACTTGTGATCTTTCTTCTTCTTTTTTCCCCGTGTAGGATACGTTGCATTGGTTTCTTTTTGGTCTTTCCATCAGTGTTTTGGTTATTGCGGTTGATCTGTTTAGGTGAATCATTTTCCTGGTAATTTGCTTCTGCTTATCTCACTTTACACAGATCATTCTTTTTTTCCCTTACCTTTACTTCCTTTTCAATTTCATTGGCATTTCTTTTATGCTTTTTGTTGTTGTGGTGGTTTTTAGCTCATTTTATTTTATTTTTTCTCTTCGCCATGGAAAACTAGGCTTGAATGGTTGTGTTGTTGTTTATTCTTGCATTGTTTTTTTTTAAAAAAAATTTATGGGTTCAACTTTATTTGTTTAAAAGTCAACTTGGGGTTTTCAACTGCTGTTTTTTTAGACAATGCAACATGAACGCATTTGTATCTTTTGCTTTATAGATCAACTAACATGCAATCATTGTCTTTATTGCCTTGTTTTTGAAACCTTAGCATCTTGTGCAACTCTTTTTCTTTAGCAACTTATAAAGCCTATTGTTCATCAATTGAAATTTTGAATGCTGTTGTCTCATTTGTATTTTCTTTTGTCTTTTTTGTTGCTTAAAATCATTTTTCTGTTGTATGTGCCATTTGGTTCTTCACTTGGTTTCTTGCATTATTTTTCCCTACATTGTTTGGATTTATTTTTCCAGTTTAGTCTTTATGTTTACTGATTTACATCAGTTTTGGGATTATTCACCAAACTCCCTGCTCCTTCTTAAGCTTTGAATTGAAATCACCTAGCGACATATCATTCTTTGCTGTTTTCCAACTCTGATTAATCTTTTTCTTCTTTAGATTGGAATCCTTTTTTTCAGTCGGGTCTTTTTTATCTTCATTTATGTTTGTTGCCATTCTTATTTCTTCAGGTTGGCTCTGCCCTTTCTATTGACTTTGTGTTGTTCTTTTTTCCTGTTTCTTAGTTTGTCTTGCGCTTCGTCACCTTTTTTTAATCCTGTAAAGGTTGAATCTCTTCATTATTGCCTCTCTTGCTTTAAATAGTTTTACGAGGATTCCAAGGTTTGAAAATAGCATGAACAATGACAAGCTTTTCTAGTGGTTGCTTAAAAAGAGTTGTTGTCCTTTTCTTCACTGTTTCCTTCGTGGTTGTAGGTCAAAGTTGGTTTGGGTTCTTTCCTTTTATTCTGCAACTTATATTTTTCATTCTTTTTTTATCTAAGCGATGGTTTTTTCACCTTTTATTTTCTCTAAGCAGGTTTGTTTCATGTTTGTAGCCAACCCAGACTGTTTTTTCCTTCCTTTTCTTTTCTTGGATTGTCCTTATACCTTTGGCTTAGTTAGGTTAATAATTGCCCTCATTTTATCATTATTTCGGCACTAGACTTGTTAATTATTAGCTTGTATTTTACAACTTTTCTTTTCTATCTTCTTATGATAAGTTTTCAAACTTTTTTAAACACTTTTTATTCCAATCCTTGTTGGCCTTTTTGCTTAAGATCTATTCTCTCTCTTGTGCATTTTAGATTTTTGCATAGCCATCACTATTTTTTCTTTTTGTAGGTACACTGATCACACAACCTTTCCAATACTGAAATGATTTTATCTAGAAGTTTGACTTGCGTATAACTTGTGAACCCATACTTCCTTTCTCTGCTTCCATCTTGACATCCCCATTAAATGTTGCCCCATTTTGTGCATTGCATGTTTTTTATTCTTTTTGTGCACCTCTTGCTGAAGTAGAATAAACATTGTTTATATTACTCAAAAAAATTTATGTTGTCTATTTGTTTTCATTTTAATGCTTTATTAGCCTTGCGTTCTTTTAATTCAACATTATTGGTTCACTATTTTAAATAGAGGGTGGTTATTCCTTTTTTGTACATGTATTGAGACCCATTTACATTGATATACTTAACCTCTTATGAGAATAGAATTGATTTATGATCAAGAGAAAACATCCATCCACGGTGAAATGTAGGCACCTTATCTGAAAAAGATTGAAAGCATTGGCTTATATAACAAAGCATACCTAGAAAACTCTTTCTAAAATTATATTTTCTTGAAAAATAATGGAGGAAACTAAGTTAGGAACATAATAAAATGAGCTTTTACACACCGGTGCTCCCACCAATGCCAAATCAGGAATATTTTTTATGGCTTGGATACTGATAGCATCATTAAAGGGTATGATAAATTATTAAAATGAGCTTTTACACACCGGTGCTCCCGTCAATGCCAAATCAGCAATATTTTTTATGACTTGGATATTGATAACATCATTAAAGGGTATGATAAATTGCAACCTATCAGATTCACTTCCCTGTTCTTTTTTGTCAGGTTATACATCTCCTGAAAGAAAATCATTCCACTGTAATGAGAAATGCATTTCATCTTGCATCCAATATTATTAGGAATTGTACTTCTTGTAATATAAATGGGCTACACTACTAGAAGTTCTTATACTTATAAAAGTCAAGGGAGCTTTTTTGCTATTTTCTGGTTAGAATGCAAGCCTTCTTAAAGGATTATGGTGTGTTACAACACTCGCAATCTTAAGTTTTAAATGGCCTTTTCAAATAGGATTATACTTGGAATTAGCTTTGGTCTTCAATTACACACTACTATTTATAAACATGTTATTACACTGTAATTGAATTGGGTTTCTTATGGACTTGGTAGGGATGATGTTTAATAGTTTGGACTTGAAGTATTTTAATTATTCATTTGTAAACTACCTAAGCCCATTTCATTATAGGCTTCTCTTTTCGCTGCTCTTGTTATATATTGTTGCTATCATTCTTTTTTTACCAGTTGATTATGGAAATAGGTTTTGCTAGATTAGGAAAAAAAACAGGCTTGGAATCTTCAAAGAGCCTCGTTCCCTTGGGGTATGGAGATTTATTCCTCTATAGTGGTGCAATGGTGTCGCTGTTGTAATATTTTGATGTTACATTTTAAAATCAATTAAGAAATGAATGCTGCCTTGAATTCCATTCAACATTTTGTTTGCAAACTATGAATACAAAAGGAGTAGTTTGTTTAGTCCTTTGGTTTATAAGATTTTAATTATTTAGTTTTTTTAGGGATTTAAAAGCATAGATTATTGCTTGCACCATAAATAAATATGTGAATATGCTCTCATTGCAGAAGCTTGGTCTCTTACCTGATTTCATGAATCCATTTAGTCTTCTTAAAGCATTCTGATTCTTTTTTTCTTTTTTAGTTATATTTAATTGGATTGTTTTAATGCTGTTTGGTTTGGACATTTAGATTTACAATTTTGGTTGTTAAGTGTTATTTGGTTTGGACTTGAGTTTTTTTGTAGGCTCTCCTAAAGATCTTCCCTCTTTACAAAACAACTGGTCAAATATGTTATCGAACAGAGTAATTAGAAAGCTGATACAATGTGTTTGTTGGTTCATCCTTCTTTCATTTTATTTATTTATTTATTTCCTTTTTTTCTCCTTCCTTGTATCAAATGCTATCTTTTTTCATGCTTAGATTTATAGCCAGCTGTTGGGGAGAAAGTTGCAGAATCATAGAAATTAACAGAATTGGGCTTTTAGCCACAAATCCATTATGTAATTTATTGATTGCAATTTTCAAGATTCTTCTGACACTTTACATTAAGTCAAGGTCCAAGATACATTTTGTTTGCTTACTAATTATAATATTGTTGTAGAAATGGAAAAAACACTGACACATTAAATGATGTTACTAACCCGTTTTGCATGGGGACAAAAAAGTCTATTGATAAATAAAGTTAAGTTATTGTTTTGGTTTTTTTTGCAACTCTTGTTGTTTAGCCTTGTACTTGCTTGGTTTCTCTAAATACATATCATGTTGTATTTAATCCTTGCTTCACTTTGCTTTATCCTTTAATATTATGTTAATTAAATTTTTTTATTTTTTTATTTAAGTATTAAACTTTCTAATTTTTTTTATTTGTTTCATACAAATTTATTCTGATTTCATGTATTTAGTTTTTTTTTTTTCAACCTACAACATTAAATCTAGTATAATTGAGTTTTGTAATTTTATTTATTTGTTTTTTATGGAGTTTTACTGCTCTCATTACCTAAGTGGCGAGTTTAATATATTAACTTGAGTTTTTTTTTTTATTTTCTTATTTAATATTGAATTTGATAAGAATTAGATTTTTTTATTTTGTTTTATGTGGGTTTATATCGATTTCATGATCTGAGTCATGTGTTTGGCATGTTATCTTCTATAACGCTATATATATTTTTGAAAGCTTAACTAATGTTTTTTTTTTTGTAACATTAATGAAAATGAGATAATTTTTTTTTCTATAACAAGATTGTAAATTTTTTTTTATAACAATATCCATTTTATGTGTTCATGGTATATGAAAATGATTATTTAATGGATTTGTCATAGTTTTTTTTTGTCATGAACACTTTATGCTTTTTATAATCTCCACACAAATGATTCTTATATATAACTAGTTTATTTATTAATCTATTAGAATTTCTCATAATTTATTCATAGCCAATTATATCAATACTTGTTTTTATTTTATTATTATATTATATGATCAGCATAATGGATGCATAGAGGAGCTTAACACAAATATATAAGCAATGTTACATAATTAAATATATATCAAAAGAAAATTACTATAAAAGCATAAAACTTACATCATATAGAGTATATAACTAGCAAAATATAATTTAATAACTAATATTAGCATAATCCTACTAAATGATGGACCTCTAAAAAATACAGTATTTAAAAGTAAAATTAGTTATCAATTTATTATTTTATAAATATATTTTCCAAACCAACACAATTAATTTAATAGTTTAATAATTATAGTTTTTCATCATATCATAAAACTAATAATCCGTATATGTAAAATAAATCATTGTCAAATAATCCAAACTAAGATTTATATAAGTTTTCATTGGTCTTTGTCCTCACATAAACGACTAAATATTTTATTCCCCGTTATAATCATTGTCTACATATCTTCCTAAGTAATTTGAAATTATCTCCTTAGTTACCATCAACATAGGTAACTAAATATCATAAAATTCCTTTATGTTATGTCAATAACTTCAAAATCATTTATTTGGCTACATGAGGCACGAGAACTAAATATTAAAATATTTTTCATGTTTGTCAAATAAATTGATTAATATTGATATTATTTTCTTAGCTAACATTAACATAACAGACTAAGAATTATAACATTTTATGTATTAATTTGTCAGTGTATTGATTAATATCGATATCATCTTCTTAGCTACTATCTACATGACAAATCAAGTATCATAACATTTTATATGTCTATTAATACAATCAACACATTTCTATTTAATTTAACTGAAACCTCTCTTTTACATTTAGTTCAAAAATTCTCGTCCAAAGTTGAGTCATTTCTTAATTCAATCTCAAAACATAATTCTCATGATTTCTATTTCTAAATCTAGTCATCAATGATACAACATTTAAGAAAAACAACAAGTAAGAAGAAAAATATAAAATTTAACCCGAGCAGAGTATTAATCACCTACCTACTCTTCCGGTAGACCTAACCCCGACTCTTAATGTGTCTCCTGATTTAAAAAAAAAAAAATACAATCCTAATCAATATGTTTTTTATGTTGAGTTATCTATATTCAATACAAGCCACTTATGTTTATTACTAGCATCCTATTTTTTTCTTTACAATATACTGAGCACGTAAATATCATATATTTTATCTATAAATCTCTCATCTTCATAAAATTTCACAAACTCATAACTATCCAAAATCATATTCAAAAGCTTCAATTTATAATTTCTAACAAGTAAACAAATAATTTTTTTTTAATGTACAAAATTGACTATTCTTTTCCAAACATCTTTATTTCATTAATACTACAAGATTAATCATAATTAGTAAAATTTATTATCACTTATCTAATTTCTCTCAAAAACTATATACATGGTCGATCATAAAGCCCATTATGTTATCATGACTCTATCCATGGTTGTTCAAGAATTTATATTAAAAAAAATGATCTAACTAAATCCATTTATTATAAATTAATAACACAATTTCCCCTAGTATGATATATATACTCTAATTCACAATATATTGATAAAATAAATTAAATTATCGTAAAGTAATTCAATTAATTTCTAATCATCATTTCCATGACACGTGCCTTAACTTTCAATTTAACAAAGTACGTATGTATTATTAATTTCTAATCATCATTTCCATGACACATGCCTTAACTTTCAATTTAACAAAGTACATATGAACAAGCATTACCAAGATTTATAAACATCTCATTTCTTATTAATTCAAGCATTTTTACATAATCTCACCTAAATCCTTATTGGTTTATAAGGGGCTATTTATTTTTGCATTTTAAAAATGTTTTTGAAATTTTTTTTATTTTTTCTTTATTTCAAATTTTTTTATGTTTTCAAGTTATTTTGATACACAAAAAATTTATTTTTTCTTTACTTCAAATTTTTTTATGTTTTCAAGTCATTTTGATACGCTGATAACAAAAATAATTTTTTAAAAATAAAAAATATATTATTTTAATGTCTTTTCTAGTGAAAATATTTTAAAAAAGCAATCATTATTACTCTCCCAAACACCTATTTATGCATAATAACTAATTTAATCTTTTAAGTCGAAATCTTTCCAAGTTTGTATGCAAAAATTTCCTGTTATTTTCTATTTTAAACTAATTTTTATTTACTATATTTTTACTTTCATAATAAAAATATTTGATCTATTTTCTATTGTCTATTACTTACCAAACTCGTCATCTTATATACTAAAAAATTTGATTGGTATAATCAACACTAATAAAACTTTAAACTTCATATGTACAACTTCAACATCACGTTTCAAC